ACAGTAGTTGTGCACCATTGTGCACCAGCCTCTCATAGTCCAAGTTCCCTCCCTCCAAAGTCTCCGATCCAGATCTTGTATGATCTCGAATCCGGATCTCACGCGTCAAGCGCACCTGGAAGCCTCCATCCTTGGACCTAGGTCTGGCTAAAGCATCAGTGAGGCATCTGCCTTCAGCTCCGCTGGACAAAGCTGAACATGTGGGTGACGTAAGTGGAACTGTTCAATATGCTTGCAAACAGGAAGATTGTGTACTGTGTACTTCATTGAAACGGCACAGGAAAAGCGACAGAAGCGACCATTCGCGGAATTCTGCAGTCAAGCTTAGCGTCTCTAGGCTTAGGCCAGAAATCTGGTGGGACAGGAATTGCAATGCACTTGTAACAGATGAAGAGTTGCTTTTTGCTTTAATTGTTGTTCCATGTTGTAAGCCTCAAATAATCTAAGCTTATATTTTTCATTTTCCGATCCATAGTTCCCATCAGTCCCCCCTCAAATTGTTGGTTGATCAACGGATAAAACTCAACAATCACAGTCACATGTCCGGTGTCACTCCTCTGCGTCACTCAATCCCGAACGACCTAATGGACTTCTCACCTCCACCGTCTGGGTGTCCGCACTGGTAACTGGGGAACTCATGAGGGCTACACACCAAGGTCGCTAGCCTCGCCAAGCACGACTGCAAATATTCGCGTGGACGGCGACTGCGACACATGGATCCACCAAGGCATCGTCATTCGTTGACCACGAGAGCAACGAGAAAGGGTCGTTACCAACTCGTACCAACTGAAGGAAAGGCTTCACCGGGGAAGTTTTGCTCACGCCATGAAGGGTGGATAAATCAACCCCCGCGGAAGGTCTTGGCCGGGCATCAAACGAATCTTGCGAAGTATTTATCGCCAGGCCAAGGTCCTACAGTATCCGATCAGCAACTGCCAAAGGCATGAACCAACAATTAGCCACCACGAGGAAAAATTGCCTGGGAGAGAACCCCAAAACTGTCCCACCAAGAGACCCCAAACAGTCTGTTAAGTAGAAGAATGCAAGGGTGAATAAACCAATTTCCACACTCTAGAGCACAGACATGAGAGCACACATCTGTGAAGAATCAATGACAAAACACATGAGAGCACAGGATAGCAGCACAAATCTGAGAGGGCACACGCGCGAGCGCACATGGTTTGCAAACACATGAGAACACAAATGCGAAAAAAAGCACACACACACATGAGAGTAGAGCAAACATTCGAGAGCACACATAAAGGATCACACCTGTGAGAACACACACAAAAAAACACATAACACAAACACATGAACACATGCGCGTGGGAGCACACGCATGTCAGCAAGCGCATGAGAGCTGACACGTGAGAGAACCGCTATCAAAGCGCACACACTTAGAGAATGGGTTTTCCGTGACCTCTGTTCCACGAGGAAGTGAGTGAGGGAAACGCAAGGTGGCAGAGTTCGCGGTCAACAGAATGTTTAACAAATGTTGCAAAAGCGCTCAACGACTGCGGCGATCAGCAGCTGCAATGCGGAGGGAAACCTGTTTTGGGGTCTAGCTAGCGTGCAAAAAACCATGGAATCAAACAAACAGCGACAGGGACCATTGGAGTCATGCGTTGGTCAGCAGGTACATGAGAGTGATCAGCTCTCACTTCCCTCGATACACCATAGCTTTGTTGCGTCAGGTAGGTGTATCGAGCCTGACGCCCCTGCTGCAAACCAAAGGGGATTAAACCCCTAGAAACGGAGGGTGGCACACACAACATGCCGAAAATCGGCGTTCGCACAGTGGTAAGGTGGACAGTTTTCCGCCCTGTAAAAATCGTTTGAAGTCTGAGCTGCACTTAAGATCAGACCGGGAGTGAAGTAGCAATCATTAAATGGAATTCTGGAAAATTCTGGAAAAAGAAGTGGTTGAATCAGAAACATAAACATGTCAACATGCATGACGAGAAATTCGTGAGCCCGGCGGCATCAAATCTCCGTAGGCTCGGCAGTGTTATGGCAGTAGATTCATGCGGTGAGACACTCAATCCGCTAAATCAAACGTGATCCACGGTGGTTTCGGCGCTCCATTGCGGGAGATCACACCCTGCACCCAAGTGGGATGGCAAAGCGGCACGCACTTAGACAATGGGTTTTCCGTGACCTCTGTTCCACGAGGAAATGAAAGAGGGAAACGCAAGGTGGCAGAGTCCACGGTCAACAGAAAGTTTAACAAATGTTGCAAAAGCGCTCAACGACTGCGGCGATCAGCAGCTGCAATGCCGAGGAAAAACCTGTTTTGGGGTCTAGCGTGCAAAAAACCATGGAATCAAAAAGACAGCGACAGGGTGGACCATTGGAGTCATGCGTTGGTCAGCAGGTACATGAGAGTGATCAGCTCTCACTTCCCTCGATACACCATAGCTTCGTTGCGTCAGGTAGGTGTATCGAGCCTGACGCCCCTGCTGCAAACCAAAGGGGTTTAAACTTCTAGAAACGGAGGGTGACACACACACACACACACGCACGAAAAAGAGCGCGCATGTGAGAGCAAATACGCAAGCGCACACATGAGAGCACACAGGCCGGGAGAACGCAGAAAACAACACAAACCTGTGAGAACGCGCATATGAGAACACTTGCGTGAAAGCACACATGTGAGAGCAAACGTACGAGAGCACAGGTATGACAGCACACATCTGTGAGCAAACATAAAGGGGGACGGGTATGAGTGAGCACACATATGAGACCGCACATATGAGATCATCACACGTGAGCACACAATGAGAGCAATCACATGAGAGAACTCTTGTGAGAGCATATGTGTGAGAGCATCATGTGAGAGCACACGCACACATGAGAGCACGCATATGTGAGGAAGCACATGAGAAGACACACGCACACACGACACACAAAGGAGATCACACAGGTCAAAGCACACATAAGAGAGGTTCACAAACTGCTTCGCTTGCCATGAGCTCCGCACTGCAAGGTTGACAAAGTGCTGCACCTGCCACGAAGTCTGCGTGGCGAGGTTCTGTGTCTGCCACGAAATATTACAATCGACTTGGTTCCCTGCCTGCCACGAAAGGTGACACCAAGCCCCAAAATGCACACAGCACCAAGGACAAAAACAAACAACGATTCCAGCGCGGGTCGCGGGGCTTGGTGCGGGCCTGCAGGCCAACCCTCACTCAACAACCATGGCCACAACGAGAGCGCAGTCGGGGAAAGCAGCCTCCTGCGGAGGTAAGTTTCAGTGAGCCTGCGCAGTCGCAAGACACTTCGAAGATCTCGAGAGGCATGAATATCCCGCAAATATAATAGCAGCAAATTGCACGAACACAGATGCAAGAGCCCTCGGCCAAACCCAGCCTTAACACTGACAGCAAGAACCCCAGTGTAACCGCACTGTTGGGGAAACATGTGAAAAAGGTATAAAAAGGTTATTCTATAAACAAAATCAGGAGGCAGCTGGACCCAAGCCAATTGAGGGCTGTTCATTGACTGTTGGGGGTTGGCTGATCCGATCGGCTGATCCTGTGTCAAGATTGAACTGCTTGTCCTTCGTGTCCAACGCATGTGTGTGTGTGCATGATGTACAAGTGAAATCTGTTCTGAGCTTTGAGCTTTCTGGTATCTGAAGCATTGAATGGCAACTTGCCTCCAACGACGGGATGCCAGGGCACCTATTTTTAACGTTTCTGTCCTATGAAAGGAGCTACCACAAAAGCATGTCAACACCAATGTTTCAGCCATCATGACCATCATGAAACGTGCCTTGGCTGTCGACGTTTTTTCGTATTTAGTACAATTTCCTGGAACGAGATCCGGATGGCCTAGCAAAGCCATGTAGAGCACAACTCCTGCGGCATAGATGTCCACTTTGCATCCATACCTGAAAGAAGAAAATTGACATCAACACCGAAACCGTTTGAAATCCCGGTCCAATAGACAGCTAAGCTCCTTCAGAAAGTAGCACTGCGGGCCACAAGCGCCACAAGCCACCTATTATACTGGTACTGTGAATTTTCACGTGTCTTCACGAGTCATCACGAAGGGTTTGCCATGAATGACCTTCGTTGCACAGTACCATACATCTCGTGATGTTTTTGCCGAGTCCTTGAACAAGATTGGATGCCTATAGATCTCAAGTAACTTCCCTGTCATTGGCAGCTTTAGAGAAACGGGCTTCAAGAATGATCACCCCATTGACCATGCTGGCGCAACGCAACTCTCTTTTTGGCACCTTCTGAGCTTGGACGGTTTCTCAGTGTCTCAAAAAGTGCTTCTGACTACTGTACCAGTCAGTCAATTCATGTTTGCAATGTTACAGCGTACAAGCGTACAAACGCACAGCGTTCCGCTCACAGTAGAAGTGTTGACGGCTTTGGCCGATAACACCAGTGCATTGTCTTCTGCCTTTGGATTACACATGGTACCTTCCTGGCCCCCTTAGACACTTCAACTCAAAGAACGTATCTAATCATCAGCAGGCTTTGTCCCAAACGGTTCTCATCTCATCAGTACGTGCGAACGAGCAAGGCGTGAGACATGCACTCTGTTCGCATTGGAGCAGCAAAGGGCAAGCTTAGTATTAGTAAGCTTGAAAAATTCGAGAGTCATCCCAACACCACTCTCTTTGAGGTAAGACAGTAAGACATTAAAATACTTGTCATTGTCCGCCAGTGTTTTGCTGACTAGCACGCTGTCAATTTCGCCTGGGCAACCTCGGGCATCTAAGGCCACCGCAACATTCATCGTCGGCTGACAGGACCAGTCAAAAGGCTGGATCACTGAACGCCATTCTACGCTGCTGCATGCCATTGAAACAATCTTGATTCACAATTGCCACCTCCACACACATTCTTCTCGCCCAGCGACACAGATTTCTGGTGATAAATACTCAGCCATTCCCCAACCAACAAGCAAGCATTCAACAGTTGTGCAGAATGTAAAGGCAGGTATCGAGTGTGCAAATAATCAAATGTGATGAAATCGTTGAACATGCAAGTGTGGAAGCTAGCTACAACTACAATTTCATAGTGAAAATACCGTGATTCTCCCATCGAAAAAACTGTCAAATGTTTCTTGACAGGGAGAGATAAAATGGTTTTGGCGCAGCTTATGCAAGGCATGGAATATATCTTCCTGCACATAACCTGACAGCAAGTCAAGCAACGCACTTGCATTCATTCGTTCGAGGCTGCGGTGAATTTGGACCTGTCGCAACTTCTTCAGCCATGCTCCGCTTACTTCAGCGGTGGCTTGAGAGCATTGCTGCTGCAAAAGAACCACGAGTTTTGTTGCTTCCGGGTCCGAAATCTTCTCAAACTTTTTGATGATGTGAGGCAAGATCATGTCCAAACGCTGTCCTGACGTGACATTGTCAGTGACACAAAACAGCAACCTGAGTCCTGCGCAAATCAGTTAAGTATATAGCCGGTCCTGCATCTGCGTGCTTCAATATGAGACGCTGTGACTTGTCCAGTCTCATCATCTTCTTCTCGTGCGGCATGTGGCAAAAGCCGCATGCAAAGCCCAAGCGGCATGTGCCGTTCTTGACGATTTGGACGCAGGGCGGCCGGCAAATCTCCTCCGCCATCGATGGAAACGGCAACCTTTGCCTCCTCTTTTAAGTAACACAAATAGAATAGTCTAGTCGAACAGTGAAGCAAAATACCAGTATCAAGATGATTGAACGCATCGCAAACTCGTATGTCGCAGGCGCTGGACAAACAAGCACAATTAATCAATACCTTTTTAAAACTAAGGATTGTCACAGGACCGACATTCTTGCTACGCATTACCTCCTCAAACTCACAGTGTAAGGTACATCAAGGTACTGTACATCAAACTCACAGTTTGCGTTGTGGGCTTCTCCAAGCGTCCGGATGACCAAATGAACCCTCACTTGTGACGATTCTCTGCAAGCCGGAGAGAGGACCTGAGAAACACAATCGGCACAGAGAGAGAGAGGACCAGCTTGTCTGACTTGTCTCTGCTTCTTCAAAGCCAAGCTTATCTTGTTAGCTTCTTGCGGTTCACTGAGAAGGCAAGGTACTTCCTTAATGATATACACATATTTAATCCAATACAATAACCTTCGGAACACTGAGACTGTCCAGGCTTAAGTAAACACATAATACAAAGAATAGCAACAATGCATCATACAGAAAGGCCGGAAGCGGAAAAACTATATGCAAATATAACCAAATAAATAAGTCCAGGGTCGGCCAAGGTGAATGAACTTTGGCACGCTTGCAAGTCAAACATCCTCTTGTGGAGAGCTCTCATGTACTTATGCAGAATTGGTTGCTCTGCTTTGGGTCAAAACCACTTCTCGGGCCAACTGATTGAGTAGCTCAACAAAGATAGGAAGGTAATGAACAGATCCTGAAGTGATCCAAACAAATTGACAACATCATCGGGAAAGGTTTGCTTCAGCACACCTTAATTACTCCATTATGTTGTCTTCCATTTCTGATTTCTGATGTTGTTGTTCAACATCTCCGCATGCACTAGGCAGGTACATGGACACCCGCCACCGACAGCAAATTGATGTGATGTCCCATGTGTTTCCCAGTTCCTACTACGGTTGCAGTTCTCCAAGAGTGCCTGGCCTGAGGCAGACATCTGGGCCACTGCAAGCTATGGCACTTGGTACTTCGGAGCCAAAAGGCTATGTCGGCTATGCCTCGCAAGCAGCTCCGGTAATTCCTCCCTTCAAAACTTCCTGTGCCGTTCGTGGTGGCAGGGCGACCAAGAGCAGCTTTGTGGCCAGGTTCAACTAGAAGGGAGTAGTTCTTCCTACAAAAGCGACTTCACAACAAAAGTGCGGACAGGCCCGGACAGGAATACTAAATCTGGTGCGCAACTTCTTCTTGAAAGCACCATATGCATGGATTCTTGTTGGAGGGCTTGCTGGAGGGTATACTGTCGCATGCTGCTTGGGACGTTGTTTGTTATTTTTTGTATTACCAGTACGCGAGGTGCTGTCTCTGCAGTCTCTTCTTCGTATGTCTTCGTCTTCTCTCACTTAGAACTGCATCGAAGAATTGCTCCAAAAGGTCTCAACTCACAAGCTGTCAGAGTCATTTCTCACTCGGGTCCATCGCCCTTGCATTCCCTTTTTGCCGCTGCAACTTCCAAACTGAAATCTACACATATACATGTTACATATTATATCACTCTATAACAGTTGTGTTGGTAATTTGTTTGTCGTACAATTGGTCCAGTTTGATGTGCGAGCTCACTAATAGTATTTCGTCAGGCCCCTGACTATCAAGTCTGAACTGATCTGCCCAGGAAAAAAAGCAAAGACAGTCCATGCCTGACACGCTCCTTTTTGAGGCACACACATCTCAGTGAGCTGAGTTTTGACAAATTCTCCAGACACAGAGCGACTGGGGCGAGGCATTGAACCTGTAACGTTCATCTCGTGTTACACTTTGTACCACAAATGCCAATTGATTTACGATCACCTCTGTTCAAGTGCCGCTCAAATTCTGGATACAGTACAAAGTACTGACTAGTAGAAATACACGAGTTCCCCAGACTTCCCCAAATGAAGGGGCATGAAGAGCTGTCGGACTGAATACGTGGTGATTTGTTTACACAAGCAAAATACAATGTGAGGATCCGTGCAAGTTCTTCCGGTTCGTAAATTTGGAATCTTTGCACACCGTCTTCCGTTCTAAATGGGAAGGCGTCCTGTTTATTCGAGCAACACGTGGGCCGAAGCTACGTGGACCGAAATGTCAGGAACCGTAAGTCAAAGACCTGACGGTCGGACGCACCCGAGGGAAGCGGATGTTGTACAACACTATGAAACGATTGTGCGACCAGAGTGGCCGCCAGTGGCCCTGCATTCTGAACTGCAACTGAACAGCAACATTCCTTCGAACACTGAGATTTAAGCAAAACTATTGGATTCAAGTTGAGGACATGAAACTTTGCATCACTTATTATCATATATCATCAATATCATCACATCTTGATCATCGTGCCACAGAAAATGCCTCATGTTAATTTCAGCGGCAGTGCAAGCTCACTACCATCATTTTGTGGCAACGGCCATGCCCTCTGAAGGGCTGCATCCAGGAGCCGAGCTCTGACGACGCTCGGCCACATGGCTCGTCTTGCCTTTTCAAACAGTCCATCTGTCGTGACAGAAAAAGTTCTTCTAATTTCAATTTCCTCTACATAGTCAGCCGTCAAGTGCACACTTAGAGAGAAACAATATGAACAACACAGGTTTGAGAAAGTCAAGGTTCCCAACCAATCTCCACCCCACGATGTCCAAAAGAATTGGCTTGAAGTGTCCACTCTGGCCTGTTCTAGACATGGACCTCAAGAAACGAGGTGTCTGCGGTTCCGCCCCGACTCCTGCTTGGGTCTTCTACTCCAGACCGGGAAGATGATTCACCAAGAGTCACTCCCGTGGTGGTCAAAAATTGGAGCAAACTCTTCAGCCTCGTGCTGTGTGGAGACATCATCTAAGTAATTAACTCAGTCCCAAAATGGTCGTCAAAGGAATTTATGTTGCTGTCCATGAGTTATTGCCTGCCTGTCTGCGCAAGAGAAGCGGCAAAGGCCACACAATGTGATTGGCGTGATCTCTCCCTTCGAGGAAAGTCAGTGAAGACTTAGTCAAGAGATATGAAACACTGGGCTTACTCGACCATCCTTTGGAGATAAGACATGCTTGCCAACAAGAAACAACACTGTTCTAGCAAGAAACAACACTATTACATATATATATATATGTGTATATATTCTGATCGCTCTTCACAACATGGACCACTTCTTCAAATCTCCAAGAGAAGAGTGGACATTTATCGTGCTCGGCTGTGCCAGGTTTTAGAACTGCCAGCAAGCAAAGGGCTGCGCAAAACAGCCTCTATGTCTACGCAACTCAGCTGTCTGCTGATGCAGCTAATCTGAGCTCTAGTCTTTGGGGATGTCTACAACCGATGGGTTGAACACCCAAACTAGCTCTTCGAGTGGACAAACTCCCAAAGCTGCTCACGTGAGCAAAATTCCCCAAGTAGCCTTTGAGGAAGTAGGCCGTGAGGCAACAAGAGCTTGTCATCATCATACAATCATGTTTACATTTATATGTATATATTAGCTAAGACTCAAAGCCAAAAAGTGATCACGGCCCCTTCTGGAAGTAGCTTAGGGAATGGGAAGCGACTCCGTTGTAGAGCTATGTAGGCTTGATTGACATGCTCTGGCAAGCACTCCGTCACCAAGTCCATAAGTGCACTGATGTTCATGCGCTCCAAACGTCCACTGATTTGAGCTTGCTGCAGCTTTTTCTCCCAGGCGCCGCTTCTGGTGGGTGAGGCTTTCTCCACCTCTTCCTGCAAGAGCCGCACCAAGTTCAAAGCTTGCTGGTCACCTAGCTTCTCGAGCTTCTCAACGACATGGGGGATGATGATGGCCAACCGCCGTCCTCTGGCAGGAAAATCGTTTGCTATGTTTCAGAAATCAAGCCAATCAAAATAGAGCCGTCGCTTGAGCAAATGAGAAAAAGGGTCCTTCCCCAGCTTCGTGCATCATTGTGCGCTGACCCTTGTCCAGCTTCTTCTTTTTTCCATGCTGGAAGTGGCAAAAGCCACATGCCAGTCCAAAATGACATGAGCCATTCTTCATCATATGGACACAGGGTGCTTGGCACATCTCCTGCAGCGTGCATTTTCGGATGGATCTTCAATGTTCATCAAACTCAGTGACTGACAGAATGCAAATCCAAGTTGCCGGATGACCCATGGAGCCCTGACTGACATTGAGTTGGAGGCTCCGATCGGTGCCTGCACAATATTGCCAATGTGTTGCAGCCATGCATATGTCGCAGCCCTGAAACTCGTTGTCTCAACCCCTTTTGCACAATGGAAAATTGCAAAAATAACCAAACTTGTCCCTATGTCACGTCTCTTTAGCGCTTCTGTGAAACAGCCATGAACACATTATTAGCACCAGGGTCTGTTTGAACAAAATCACACACACACACACTGCAACATTCAATTCTACTAGGAAAATGGGAACATGACTATGGGTGTGTGTGTGTGTTCTGTTCCGCTTGGAGTATAGCAGCAGAATCTGGTGTTGCTCCTCTTGCATGTTGTGCAACTTGGGACAAAAACAAGACAAATCGCTGTACCCACTGATATAACTATATAGTCCTAGTCCAACAATTACACAAAGGCTCGTGACTGTCGGGGTAAGCCGGATTTTCACGGGGAACAAGTGAAAATGTCCAATTGTCTTCCGCCAAACAGAATCAACAGCCAAAAGCTCTTTGCAAACTGCAATGAACTAGACCGACAAGCGGGCTCGGCTCAACAATGGACAAGGCTTGGACAAATTTCAGCTCGGAATAGACCGGCCACGTCTTCAGTCCTCAAACAAAGCCATGCCTCTGATGGTTGGTTCCATGCCCTGCATGCCCAACAAGGCTGGCAGTGTGGCCACTTGCTCTGGCCAAGCCAGGGCAAGCGAGCTTGGGCCAACATGCCAAAACTGGATGGGCAAAAATGCGGCTCGCAGGCTCGGTCCCCAGTTGCAAACTCGGTTGGGAAGCAGCTACTGTTGCTATGTGCTGTACTATGCGCTGCCAACTGCCAACTTCATTCAGTGCAGCTTGGTACCTCATTCCCCAGCGCTTTCGCCAGAGAGGCATGGCCTTCTCCTGCACCAAGGTTTGAGTGGTTTCTCACAATCCAAAACTTGAGTCTTGAGTCGTACCCAGGTACTTAAGTAGATGTTTCGTTGAAATGACAGCTTGGCCCTGGATTCTCACCACAGGCTCCTGAGTTGCCCAAATCTCTGGTGCACAGCAGGCCGGAGTTCTGGCATCGATTCAAGGCATCTCATCTAAGAAGAGTCAATCTTCCATCTAGTTGGGGCTAGGTTTTTTGGCGGTTGTGAAACAATACTGACACCCAACAACAGCACAACAAGAACAGGCTCCAAGCTTCCTTTGTCCCCTGAGTCCTTGCACAACTTTCACGGCTGGAATATACCACTTGTACCAAGCTAGTGTGCTTTGGAAAGGCAAAGGCCCAGCTTCTTTGCCAATGGGAAACAAAACAGTGCAAATACAAATCACACGTGTGTTCAAAAATAACACAGGCCTGACTAGACAAACACGAATTTGTGAATTTCAAGTGAATCAGAATGAACATTGAACATAAAGTGCGTTCAATAACTACTTCGCAGATTGACAATTCTTGCTTTGAATCCTCGAACTTCGCATGGAGCTCTGAACCTGTCTGCTAATGCCAACTCCTCGTGAGCCGCCCAAAGCAGACTGACCGGCCCAGCCCGACGCGTTCGCTCGTTCGCTCGTTCGCTCGGCACCCGCAAATGGTGTCAAAAGCCCGGTCTTGATGCCGCCAACACTCCTCTGGGTCTCAAACAGCACAAACGCATGACACATGTTTCATGTTCTACATCTTTTCACCTACTCGCTCAGGATGCCTCCCAATTGGGAGTGTCAATGTCTACCTATGTCTAGATTGGTTGGCGTGTGAAAATGTCCACAAGATATATTGTAAGTGTTCTATTACAGTAATTTTCTGGACCAAAGCCTCCCTTACAATCTTGGTTGTTCTTGGACAAGTTGCTATGCAAAATTTCTGCAACCGGTGTTGATTCAGAAGAACACCTAGTGCTTCACTAGGTTTCCAACACGACGTTCAGACTTTGGCTGTTTCAACCGTGTCCCGTGGAAGTTTGGCCGACAAGCCGAAGTCAATGAGCTTGATTTCCTGAAGAAGCAACACCGAATGAAAGTGAACTAGGAGCTACGTCCTTGTTACTAGTAGGAATGGCCTCCAACCTAGTAGCGATATGTAGCGATGGCCTCCACCTAGAAGCTTCTTGCTCTTTCTTGGCCCGTTCCTACTCAATCAAGTAGGCGCCTGCTTAATTGAGAAAGGGAGAAGTGAGCTCCTAGCTACTTAGACTTCTAGTAACTGGATGCAGGATAGCTCACGCTTCTTCAAGGAAGCCCCCCCCCAGGCAGGGAGCTTGGTTGAAACAGCGCTCGCACTAATGATTTGGTTCCTAGACTTTTAGGGAAACTAACTTGTGTTTTTGAACTTGCAACACGCAATTCCGTTGTGAGCATACAAACGAAAGTTAATGATGGCGGACACATGTATATTACTATATTGTACTTGATTGCCTCTGCAAAGCCAAGTTTCTAGATGAGATGGTGTGCAAAAGGAAGCTATCTTAGGACATGTAAGGTGGAATTAGCAGTGGGACTTAGGAACAGTGGGACTGCTTGCCGGCTCTTGTCAACAAGAAGATCTCTAGGAGCTTGTTAACAAGCATCTTCTGGCCATGAGTGCAATGCAACTTTTTCCAACACTGTTACAGAATAGCGCATGCTCGCCAAGAAGGCTCCAGCTCTTACCTTCGGTTGCCTATCCCTCTTCGTGGCAGAATTGGTGAGCAGTCAGAAGAAACACGATGGAGCCCACGAACCCGCATGCAAACACGTTCGAAAAGCTACATATGTCCAAATGACACTCTTGTAGGACACTCTTGTGGGACACTCTTGTGGGTCACTCTTGTAGGAAACTCTTGTGGGACACTCTTGTGGGACACTCCTGTAGGACACTCTTGTGGGATACTCTTGTGGGGCACTCTTGTGGGACACTCTTGTAGGACACTCTTGTGGGACACTCTTGTAGGACACTCTTGTGGGACACTGTTGCAGGACACTCTTGTGGGACACTCTTAAGGGACACTCTTGTGAGACACTCTTGCGGGACACTGTTGCGCGACACTCTTGTGGGACAATTCTGTGGGACACTCATTTGGGACACTCTTGCGGTACACTCTTGTGGGACACTCTTAAGGGACTCTCTTGTGAGACACTCTTGCGGGACACTGTTGCGGGACACTCTTGTGGGACACTCTTGCGGGACACTCTTGTGGGACACTCTTGTAGGACACTCTTGTAGGACACTCTTGTGGGACACTCTTATAGGACACTCTTGTAGGAAACTCTTGTGGGACACTCTTGTAGGGCACTCTTGTGGGACACTCTTGTAGGACACTCTTATAGGACACTCTTGTGGGACACTCTTAACTCTTGTGAGACACTCTTGTGGGACACGGTTGCGGGACACTCTTGTGGGACACTCTTGTGAGACACTCTTACGGGACGCTCTTGTAGGACACTCTTGTGGGACACTCTTGTAGGACACTCTTGTGGGACACTCTTACGGGACACTCTTGTTGCACATTCTTGTAGGACACTCTTGTGGGTCACTCTTATGGGACACTCTTGTCGGACACTCTTGTGGGACACACTTGTGGGACACTCTTGTGGGACACTCATACGGGACACTCTTGTGGGACACTC